TGTCTGGATTCATTACAGCTAGTTCGGTGTTTGCCAGAAAGGTCTATCGAAAGGAGGTTAATGAGAGTTTCAAGATTTTCGTTGGTCTTGTAGGCTAAAACATCCGCATAAGCACGGCTTATGTGGTTTGTAAATTTTTTCATTTTGCCCTTACACATATTTTAGTATATTTTATATTTTTGTACCTCAATGAATTCAGTAATTTCAATCAGAAAGCAAAGCACTTTGCCATTCTAGGCCCTCATTTTGGTATATACAGAAGTTTCAAAATAAGGAATAGTCATAATCATGTCTTTCTCATAGTTTTTCATTGAGTTTCAATTAAACACAATCAACCTTGTTGCTTGAGAGTCTATAATTAACAAAAAAAAAATAAACAAACAAATGTGTGCATGTGAGTGTTCACGTATTTTTGAATGAATCAGCAGCCGCAGCAAAATGGCAAACATGCTTTTTAATCAATTGGGTGTGTTTGCCAATCCAAAAAGATAACAAGCAAACAGCTTCCTGAAATTAGACCCTTTTCAATAAAAGACTGGATTTTTATCTAAATCCAACCTTGAAATAATTTATTGACTTTATACTAATACCTCTCAAGCAACAACATTGGCATTCAATTACCGGCAAAGTGTCAAAAATGTCAATACAACTTTCCGCACTTATTTCTCAATTCGCAGATTTCCGTCAGAAAGGAATGCTGCACCAATAAGGAGCGACATACATTTATGTAAATGCATTTATTAGGGTGTTCGATTATTCGGCTTTTTTTATATAAATCCGGCTTCCGATAGAGCTCTTTTTAAAAGTTGACTATTCGGTTAGTCGAACAGTCGATAAGTAACTTTTTTGTCGGTTAGTAACCGAATAAAAGTTATTTGATTAATCGCTCCAATTCGCCTAACCGTTCACATTCGATTAACCGCTCACTATCGAGTAGTCCGACAATAGACTAACCGAAATTATTCGAATAGTAATAGCATTTCACAATAAATTTATTGCTGTTACCGCGGTTGGGTTTTGTCAACCAGTATGCATAAGTATTCAAAAATAAAAATAAATAAAAATAAAATAAAATAAAATAAACAAATACAATATTTACTGAAAAAAGTAACTAGTCGAAAAATCGAAAATGATTAGTCGATTAAGTGAGGTGGACTATTTTTTGAGACAACTACTGCTATTCGACTAATCGATTAGTTGACTAATAGACAAACAAGAGCTCTAGTTTCCGAGTTATTCGATCGAAATGATCATTTCCAAAAAAAGGGTTATCCATTTTCAAATTAAGAAAAAATCAGATAAACCGGTTTTATTTTACATACTTTTTATAGAGTAAGATTTACTTTTAGTCAAAAATCATGACCAAAAGTGCAATGTGACTGTTAAATGAATTCGAAGTATTTTGGATTCCAAGTAAATCAGAAAAGAGGAGTGATCAATTCACACTTAAGTGGTGTCACCGAACTTAACCTTCCTTTGTCGGGAAAAGCTCGAGCATATAGAACCGACTGTCTTGGAAATGAGAATACACCAACCAAACCGACTTACAGTGTGCCTTGAGGAAAAGGCTAGCGGGTCAGAATTATTTACGGATCGTTTTGGTATATTTAAGATACTGATTTCCGATACACTATCCGTTTTTTAAGACTAGTTATTGTGTGCGAATTATCGCGAATTTAGCAAACTGTGTCGGTCCTGAAATTCGTAACGCTATATTTTCCATCACCATGGCAAAAATTTATTTATGCAAAGGAGTACCGATGCTTCGAGCTCGCGCAAATGGAAGAAATATAGTGTATATTTCGGAAAAAAAACACGTTCAATAAGCTCGAATTCATTTTAATAATGTCATAATTTAAAAAAGAGAGGATTTCAAAGCCTATTGATGCGAACAGTATGGCATACTTTTTTTACGCCTACGGCACACAAAATGTATTTTTAAGAAACAAAAAGTACTTTAGTTCATTTTTTTTTAATGTAAATCATATAACTACTAGGTAACCCTTGATTTATGGCTACAAATCTGGCTTTTAATTTAATAAAAGCCCCGCAGACATAGAATATTATTTGTGAAAAATATGACGACCAATTTCAACAAACATTTTCCTACAAAGTTTTATGCAAGTTGCTAACATAAGCGAAAGAAAGCATATATGCGTTTAAGAGACTTATATATGCCCCCTCGGCGAAGCTGAGTGAGGGATGTTATATCAGTTCCAAGGATTTTCCAAGGACTCAGAAATAGCAGGATATAAAATTTAGGATTGCACATCTTTCCGCATTCACTTAAGTATCTTTTTTAGTTATTTGTATATTTAAGAAAGTTATTGCGATGAGCATTTCCAACACAATTACCGACCTTTAGCCAACAATTTTTATTCTTATATTTTTAGAATTTTTTTTTTAATATGGTTCATTCTACAGCAAAAAACAGAAAAATATAATCTCTAAGCTTTGTGAAAATCTCGCGAGTATTCAATAAATTTGTATGCAAATTTTAAAATTTTTAATCGGATTATGTGGAATTTTCTTTAGGATGCAGTTATTTAGCTTATTAAATTCTAGTAGGATAGTTTGAATTTAGGAAAAAATCGGGTTGATGTTTGAGATTTTTATTTTTTTTTGTTTAAGGTGTTTTGCATTTTTTCCGCACAAGTATTTTCGAAAATTTTCTTTTGTAAGGAAGAAATTTCGTGAAAAAATTTCCAAAAATCTACGGTAAGTCTTAGCTACTTCAAACTTGCAGTTTATTATAATATTTATAATTTATTTGGCTACAAACCGGCATACTCAAACAAATTCTAAAAAATCGGATTAAAAGTTGAAAATGGAAATTTATTGAATTTTAGAAATAATTTATAATTTTTCTACTTTTTTGTTGTAGTATGAGAAGATCTAATAAATACCACCAGATATAAGATCCATTACTTAAACTTTACACAAAGTCCTACATTTCCACGGTGAGTTTAAGTAAAAATTTATATTGATTTCTGAACCCTGCCAAACCCCACAGTTGAAAGTAGAACTTACAAAAATTTCAGTCAGAGCTTTGTGGATATCCTTTATGTTAATAAGTTACGCTTTGATGGAAAATACGTTAGTGGATTTTGTCCACCTAGCTTTTTCCATACGACCCGACTGTGCGACTGTACAAATATATCTCAATCAACATCTTCGTCAACAGTCACCCCTTGAATTTCAACATCGGCGATCAACGCCACTTATCGCAGACGAAGAGGTACAGAATATTTATGTTGACACAACTGCATTCGGAATATTGTAGCAATTTAAATTGTTGAGTGTCCAATTTGAATAAGAATGCCCGACGACACTTACCATCCTCTTCTTTTTACGGTCCAAACTCCTTTGGATCTAGCTTTTGCATGAGCCTGCCGCTAGATGAGAATGAAGACAATAAGCAGCTACAACCAAAAAAACACACAGTGAACGATTTTCGTTCGGCTTTCCTTTTTTGCTTAAGTAATTTTCTGCAGTGGAAAACATTCCGGTATTCAGATTAAAAAAAAAATTTATACAAATTTCCTATGTATGATATTTAATTTTAAATAAAATAAATATTTAGAATTTTTAATGTCTGGCATATAAATAAACTAGGCGAAACCACGGTTTATTCGATTATAATAATCTGGTTTATTCGGTTTTGGAAAAATCAAATATTTAAATATTTAAAGAAAACCCGGTTTAAGCCGGTTTGAATAAAACAGAGTCCATCGCCCTAGCATTTTTACATACATAACATACTATGTACACAGGGTACACATAAAAAATCCAAATGACGTCAATACAAATAATGGCAGAGTACGAACCCACTCAAAGTCGTCTAACTAGTTCAGTACGGTAAACACTTAATTAGATCGGACACATATTCACACACCTTTATTTGTATGTATTTGCAGATTTGTGAAATACTTACTTATATAGATGCTGCCCGCTCCAGCTCTAGCTCTAAGTATGTACGTTTGTACATACATACATACATATGTTGTAATAAGTACAAAAAAAAATGCGCTGACACCAAACAGCAAATCTTAATTATCTTTACGAAAGTGCTAGGACTTAGTATACAACAATGAGAACAACAGAAAACCAACAACAACTATAACCACTACCGGCCTGCAACAAAACAAAAAAAAGTAAAATAAATAAATAAATTCTTTATTTGCAAATGTATCAAGTTTTCATTTGTAATACCCTGTTAGCAACTACAAAAATGTGCTAATTTATAAAGGTGGATGGTTAGCTCGGTAGCTACTTGCAATAAAAGCAACAACTATGCTTTAGCAAAGAATAACAACGATTAACCGCAACACGGCAAGAGGCCAGTAATTATCTTGCAACAAATCCGCCAAGCGCAAGTCTAAGGCGCAGTCAGCCACTTAACTGCTTAGATGTTTTTTTATTGGTGTTGTTGTTGTTTTTATTGTTATTGTTGACTGTTAGCTGCAAGCTGTTGGCATTAGCTGATCAGCTCGGTTGCGCAGTGGTCAGCGTGGTTAACTGTTTTTGCAGCAGCAAAATGGAAAATTAAGTAAATTAAAAAGTTATACAAAAACAAAAATAGGTACAGGTATGTGAGTGTCATTATACATGCATACACACAAATTGAGCCAGAAGTACTTGTGTTTGTGTTTTATGTATTTACGTGTGTGTATGAGATTGCTGATTTGCTTGCAACGTTACACCCAGCAAGTGGGCAAGTTACTTAGTTTAGTTGTCAGCTCTCTAGCAGCAACTGGTTTGCAAGAAAAGCCCACAGTCAAACGCACATACTCGTATATGCGCAAGCTCTAGCAACTGCAGTAGCCACCAAATGTATCAATTACATTTTTTTTTATTCTTGCAACAAGCTTAAAAAACAAATGTTTATAATGTTTCGCTGGCGCTCACCTACTAATATAAATTTGTTTTCGCTGTTTATTTTGTTTCTTTGCAGGTATGTAATTGTAATTGGACAACTGGCACTTGCCCTAGAGGAACATTGACATTGAAGGTTAACGGTATCAAATTTGGTAATTAAATCATCTATACAAATATTTAGTTAAACAAACATTTTTTGTTGTCGTCAAAAAAAAAAAAAAAATGTTGTTGACAGTTTTTACACATGTACTTACATACTCACTTAAGCAGTTAGTTAATGCAAGCTCACTTAGTGCGCGTTATGGTATTTTGATATCCCTATTGTTAACAATGCAAGCAAATATGTTGCACATGCACGCAAGGTTACGCTGATGCTAATGCTAACTTCTAACCTTCTGCTCATTATACATGATTGGTGTAATTGCATTCTAAGCATTTCGGCTGAGTTCGGAAAAGTATGTCTGTATGTAGTAGGAAAGTTATTTGCTGCTATTTTGAAAAGAGTCGACCACAATTACATAAATACCAGTTTATATGTAGCTGTAGCCGGATAAAACAAAATCCTAGCTGTGAAATTGGGTTTATAAAGATTTGATATGTCACTACTAGTCGTAGAATGTTATCCTATTCCAGAGTGTCTATATTCCAAAAGAGTTTTCTAAGCCTCCACTTTTAGGTACATACTATGTATACTGTTTTCTCTTCCACTTCGTGATTAGTGCAAATCCTTTACAAATGTAAAATTTTAGATTTCTATAAATTTTCTCCATTCAGATCGATTAATAAATATTTTTTTGTTGAGTAAATAATAAAATATTCATGTTTAGAGTGAATGCGCCTTATCCTTTCGAAGTAGTACTTGTCCTCATAAAGATTATGAAAGCTCTTCAGTCATACCATTTCATACTTCGATTTGCAGTCTTTATCCATTCCATTTCAGACTTAAGTAAATCATGAACTCTTTTCAATGTTCTTTACGTTGATATTTTGGGATTTGGACATTTAGAATTTAAGTGGTTTGTATAATTTTTCTCTGTTCAAGGAAGAAAAACTTTATTCAAGGCTCTTCACGGAGACTATTTTTAGACTAGAAAATTTTCGATTTGAGCGTTTCCTCTATTCAAGCAGCAACTACTCTACTCAATACTCTGCACATGGACTATTTTGGATTTTAATATAAAAATTGATTTCATAACTGTTTTTGGATAAACTTCTGACTGTGGCGCCATATCCAAGGTATCCAATTTACTCTGAGAAAATAGAATCAATTCAAAAACAATTCATACTTTTTGCTTTAAGAAATTTCCATTGGAATTCTCAATATAACCTTCCACCTTATACGAGCCGATTAGAACTTAGTAATCTTCTTGCAGTTGTCAGTCGCAGGGAAATTTTTGGTACAATTTTTATGGTTAAATTACTGACAGGCTCAATTTCAAGTCCGCTTCTTTTTGGTGAAGTTAGCCCCCCTTCCCCCCGGTATCAAGACACTTTTGTTCCCTATTTTTTAAAACTTATAAAACTAATTTTGAATTAAACAACTGAATAACCATTGCTTGTTGTAGTTCCAATCTGGTTTTCCGTCAAGGCACTTCGTCTAATTTTATAGAAACGTATTTATCAAACAGGTACTAACAAGTTCAATGTGCAGACACAATTTCTTAATGCATAAAATTTTTTTCCCTGTCATTTTTCACTGCTCTTAAAATGCTTATATGTATTCTACTAACTATAAGCCAATGATACTCAAATCTACTACTCGCGACCAACTGAACTTGGGGAAGACCTTGTGCTTCGGTTAAATGAAGACCCAAGGATAATACATATCGCTAGCTTAGAAAGAAAAGTTGCTAAGTCCCATTTTAAAAATTTTACAGGAGAGGAAAAAATCTTCCTATAGCCATTTTCTTTAACTATTTCGCAAGACTTTGAATCAAACATTTTGCGCGTTTAAAGCAAAGCAAAACTCCATAAGAATCAGAAGGATTCGATATTTATTAAAAGACGTCGTATTATTTTGGCCTTATCGGATTTGTGGTGCTTCTTTTGGACTTAGCAAATTTTCCTTTTATTGCTTATGAAGAGGAAAAAATAAAACAAATACCTTTATAATTTTCGAAACGATGCGTATTCAATTTCTTTAGCCTCCTATATCAAAATATGAGTTTTCATAAAAAGTGGACTTAGCAACTTTTCACTCTAAGCTAGCGATATGTGTGATAAAACAAATCTCATCTGCTTAAATGCCGCCAAAATGTAGGTTATACATATATCTCCTGATTCCTTTTGGTCTATGCTGTCTATCGCCAATTTTATTGGAGTGACCGAATTGAAGTTTCGAACCGTTGTGGCTAATCTGAGCTTTGAAACTAATTCTCGTTGAATTGCATAGATCACATGAACCATTGTATGTCTAAAATATAATTTATTCAAAGAAAACAGTGAGAGGAGTTTTAAATAATGCTGCAAGATTTATATATTCCTAAAGAAAATTTTACCTTATATCATTAATGCGTTGATATTATTTTCAGACTTGCCAACGAAAATTACTTAAACAATATTTTATTCGTATTCAAATTACTCAGAAACCGCAACCATATCAACTATACCGTAAATTAAAATTTGTTCAATCGTCTTGAATTGTAATAATGTTGTCCCTAAATACCAAACATTAACAGCCTGCAGATTATTTCCTCTTAGTGCTTTCAGAATATGGAAGTACTACCAAGTAAATGTCTAAATTCGATTCAATGCTTCAAAACAGCAGTTGAAAATCTACTACAAAAATAACTGTCCACTGTCCTTTTAAGTTTTTGTCTGTGTTCTATCCTTTAGCATGTATAGCATGTAGTTCCTTTACTTACTTATATTAGTCTTAGCTTAAGTTTAATCGTGTAAAAGAAATTTTTGTTATTGGTACGCTTAACGACTTCATGTTTTACTGTACTTACAAAGTAAATAAATAAAATAAATGAAAATGAAATATTTTCATTTTGGATTTCTAAGTTGTATCTTAGTTTGTAGCAAAATTTTACTCTATTTCCATACCAAGGATATTTGAAAAAGAAAAAATGTGTCAGAAGTCTTAAGCCATAAATAGATAAGCGTTTTTTTTTTTGTTTTTCATTTTCATTTTTAAACATAAAAAAACCGGTCGTTGACCGTGTCGGTAAATTTAAATTTTGTTTTCATTTCATCACCTAATAGCTATTATTTATTTTTTTTATTTTACTACAACAAATTGCTTGATTATGATGGTAATATTATTATTGCTTTCTTTTCTTCAACAATCATAAACGATAAAGTGGAAATAATTACAAACAGATGTCTGCAAGGTCTGCCTTTTTTAATAACAAGGTACGACTACATAGTTCATGCGTGTTTGTATCTGTAAGATTGCATGATTGTTTGTCTGAGCGCGCAAAGGCAAAGCAATCAATTTTTATGAAACCGATTTCACAGCCCAAAGCAGCAGAGAAAAGTCCAACTTATAAAAACGGTAGACCGCAACTTTTTTTGTAGAGGAAATTAAAAAAAAGAGGGCCAATGAAAAAAATCATAATAAAGAAAGCGAATTAAAGCATTTGATGAAAAATCGTTCAAATGCAACATGAAAAAAAAAACAAATCGAAGACATTGTGTGGTTCTTGAATGGAAATAAGAAATGTAAGTGCATGCGAAGTAGCAGACGCTTTTACTTTCATCACAAAAAGGTGAGTAAAGGTCTTTGCTCTTTTTCGCTGTTGTTGTTTTGTTTTAATTTTTTCTGTTTAATTTCGTTTGTGGTTGCAATATACACTTTTTTATTAGTTGTTTTTTAATAGCGCAATTTTACGTCACAAAATTACAGTTTTCTCTCCTCAATTAGTAAACTCTTTTTATTTATGTTGCTCTTAGAGATTTTGTATTAATTTTTTATTTTTTTTCATTTAATAGACAACTTTTTTTTACTCTGGGAGCAGTTAGCTTGCATTTGATAAAATAAATGTTGGCATTTAGTGGAAGCTAAATATATGCGCATGTATGTGCGTATGTAAATTTTCAAGGTGACAATGTTGAAAAAGACCAATGGGGGACCACTTCTGCAAGCCATAAGATGATTTTGTTATGAAGAAAGGAAGGAGATTAGGCTAGGCTAGACTGGTTAGCCACTCGCAGAGACTTTTTACGTTCACAGCGTTACTACAAAAACTGCCGAATTCCATACTAAATCTATTGGAAACAGTAGCGATTTTGAAGAGCATCGCAGTCCACTTAGTGAAATAGAAAAACTTCTTAGAGAAGTATTTTATATATGTTTCCAGAATAGGTGCAGACCCTACTCCAAGGAAATTAAAACGAAGCCGGTTACTTATGAAGGTCCCGAAGCCATTTCATTCGTTCCAATTCTCCTGAGATTTCGACGCTTTTTGAAAAAATAGTGTGCATTGACAATATCTCTATTACAACCTGGCTGTCAATATAAAATTCATTCGCCCATTTATTCGGTTACTTCTTAATAGTCGAAAGGTCTCCTTTGTGGCAAGAGCTTCTGCCGAGCCAATGTACTTTTGCATGCCAAGAGCGCCATAGAGACTTTATTTTCCTTTTTCTCCATGTAGAGATTCCAAGCCAGTTCGCTACAGAGCGACCAGAGAAGAGAAAATATGGGAAAGTTTTTCATGTTAATTTTTTGTTCTTTCGCAGTAGAAAAATTTTGCAAAAGTGTTGACGCCCAATAAAACTTCAATTATCCCTTTCACTAGCAGGGGAGCTCAACCAGCCACCGACGGGAAGCCCTTTCGTACTTGCTGTCCATATCAACATATGAAATTGCTGTTGATGAGAGAGAGATAGAAGCAACGGCAACGTCACCATCATGCGGCGGTGAGTTTTCATTGACACGAAAATCCCATAAGTCGCTGTCGTGTCAGCTGTCAGGGTCTACGATTTTACGTCGGTGGATGGTTGAGTTCGAAGCAGCAATGAAAGCACTCATGCTACATAGAAAAAGTATTTTCAAAAAAGGCAACTTTGTCGGACATACTTAATTATGGAAAAGGAAAGATGCCATCATGGATAAAATCACCGTCACGAACCAAATTAATGCCATTCTAAGCTTCACGAAGAAGTAAAAGAGCATATTTCCTACTCGTAAAGATTGAAGCAGCAC